AAGTTTAAAGTAAAGGTAGGGAAGTAGTGCTGGTTGTGGTAAAGGTGCAAAGATAAAACTGTCATTTACAAAACATGATTTTAGTGCATTTCCTTTTATGCTGAATTTCTATTAGAAATTATTTGACGCTCCATTTCCAGCTAAAAGAATCCCAAATTCTGTGGGCAGCCTTTAAATTCAGCCCTTTGCGTGGCTGTCTTACCTTCGTACAGCCAGTCTGAGATGCCGTTGAAGACGACGCCCTCCTGTCCAGAGGACGTGAGCCTCCACGAGCTGCTCTGCACATCGGTTTGGTAGTAAATGTTGTTTTCAAACACGTACATCTGTGGAATAATGGACAAATGAGAAAAGAAATTCATGTGAAGCACAAAACCATAGCGAGATAATATTCTGTTTTTCTGGTTTCCAAGTGTGATTTATTTATTGTATTTAAAGACGCATTACTGCTACATTTCTGACGTTAATTTTAAACTGATGGCACAGTTTCCTTCGTCCACGTCCTGAGGTGACGGAACACCTCTGAGTAATTGAGAAACCGGCGCCCGGTGAGCGGATCAAGCCGAGACACCTGCTCATTGATAAAAACATACTCAGCAAGTGGCTCATCTCCAGAGATAACAAAGACAAATATGCAGGCAGAGCTCATGAGTAATGAAGACTACTTTGTCATTAGCAGCGTGACACACTGCTTCAAGGCTTCCTGGAGAACAGGTTCCACCGAGGGCAGGTATAAATACTGAGGAAATGAGATAAATATGCTATCGAATGCTTAATTACTTTCCTTGTCTGCTCTGGAGAAAATAATGGACTGATTATTCAGTGCATAATGCTCTGCACGGTGGAGGCATTACTCACACGGAGAGCTTCGGTCGCCCAACAAGATGTCTTTCAGCAACAGCTTGATTAGTGAAACTGTTGCTGGCTTCTCTTCAAAATAATTGTTTAGTTTAAGGGGGCTTCGCCTGCATGTTCTCTGAAGTCAGAAGCAGCCTTTGATCGGTGCTTACCTCCGAGCACGGAAGATTCTGTGAATGCAATGAATTATACATAAAACAAAATTACATAAGACGCTGAGTGAAGCATTGATTTTCATTTCGGTGGAAGCGACACGGCTTCTTCATTTTAAATGACGCTGTTAAAGCTGTACCTACGTTTCTGTTCATTATCAGGTCTTTTGCTGATTGTTTTCTCCTCTTGATTGCTTGTTTGGTTTATAGAAGAACAGTTTCAGAGCACTCAAGTCAGCATAGTTTAATATCTTGATTTATCCGAGGTGTTAGATGACATAAAATGGGAAAAGCAGGAAGTCCAACTGGAGAAGCCTCGACTAGATAATGTCCTCTTTGTGTGTTTCTTTGTCAACCGTATCTGGATGTTCTTCTACCTGCAGCAAGGTTTAGATAAAACATCTTAAATCTTCTTTTTGCGGTGGTCCTCTGAAGAGCAATGTACCAATTAGCATTTTGTATGTTTCTTAATTGTGACACTCTGAGGCTGCATCTTTACATGAGGAGGATTGTACTTGATATGGTTTAGCTTAACTGTTTAAGAGTCAGAGGCCAGGATGAAGCGTGCAGGGCTTATTGCATCTGCTGCTGAGGAGGAGATGCAGATCTGCAATTTGGATTTCCGACAACAGCCCCGACTCTGAATAAAACACCGACCTTAGCTGTGCTGTGTTCGATTGAAGTTATTATGTTGTTTTTCACTTGCTTGAATAAATGAATAAATTTAAAAAAAAAATGTTTACTTTCTAAAACTAGGATTAAATTTCCCGTTAAGTGAAGGATAAAAAATTCCACCCAACACTTTGTTCTTCTTGGATTCACCTTCGTTTAACCCTTTAAGCTACTTACCAGCTGTTGACCTTTAATTCCCCACGAAGCAAACTGGAGGACTGAGTCCGACACCTCCGGAGGATTGAGCTCCCGAACCTCTCTGATGAGAAACACACCAGCCGCTACGCATTAGACCAGCAAACACGGAC